TCAGCTCCATCAAGGTAGATTCTGGGTCGACCACCGCATGACTTTGTGTTGTTCCCTACGATTAATCGTGTTCCTAGGCCATAATCGTGTTGCAATTCATCAACTCGTACGCGATTACTAGGACTCTATTCCGACTTGCCGAACCCAACTCGATGAAGAAGTTGCGTATGGATTTTACAACCATACTGTTACTCGCGTCGACAAGCGACTTCAACAAGGGTCAGATCAGCCTGACCTGTGGAACTGTGTAGAGGAGTCTACAGTGCTTACTGCTGGTGAGATCTATGCTAATGCAGAGTTACTCATGTTAGCGGGAACCGAAACAGCATGTAAGTTTCTGAGCTGCAATGTGATAACTACCTAGGTATAGAAGCAGTGTATTGCTAACCGTCAAAATCAGCGTCTCTCCTAACGGGGTTGACATACTACCTTATTAAATGTCCAGATAAGATGAAGCTTCTGACCGACGAAGTGCGTGGAACATTTAGCTCAAATGAAGACATTACATTTGAGGCTCTAAGCAAACTAGAATATCTAAATGCTTGTAAGTGGCACTAGCCAACCCTTCATTTAGGTGATAGGTTCCGTAGCCAACTTTATCGCATCTACCAGGTATCCGTGAAGCTCTGCGCGTCTATCCACCTACGGCCTCGGGCCTCCCTCGCGTGATAGCAGAGGGGGGAACTACCGTCATGGGCAAATGGATCCCAGCAGGGACTTCCGTCTCAGTCCACCCGACAGCCGCGAACTTCTCTCCAGCGAATTTCAGGTACGCTCAACCCATTCTGGTGTCTTTGTATCGATGGGGACACGAGGGGACCACGGCGTAATGCTAATCACCCCATGACAGGAACCCTGAGGCGTTCATACCGGAGCGCTGGCTAGGCGACCCCGAGTACAAGGACGATGTTCGTGAGGTTCTTCAGCCCTTCTCCGTCGGGCCTAGGAACTGTCTGGGCATGAATATGGCCTGGCACGAGATGCGCCTGCTGCTCGCGAAGCTGGTGTTTAATTTCGACATCTTGTCGGACGTGGGCCCGGAGTGGCGGGACCAGCTCGTCTATATACTCAGGCAACGCAAACCGCTGATTTGCGAGTTGAAAGACGTGAGGGCAGCAGCCTGAGGGAGGTAAGTTGTTGAACATTAAAGTAGCACACGTAGGGAGTTATCATAATTGACATCAACATCCAACAATGGAGGAAAAGAGATGGTGATTGATGAACTGTTGAGGCTTTGATGACTTGGACGTAAGACTCTAGTGATTAATTATCGGAGGAGTTTTCACAACTAGAATCAATATTACAAGATAATCTAAACAGCCACTAGGCAACAAACACAGCACCGCTGGCAATAAGGTTTGACAGACTCAAACGATCTAGGCCTGTTTATTCTCACAATCCACACTCATCGCACCAGATGAGATGACTAAGTAGCGTATGTGTGCGTAGAGGTGGTGTGATAGCGCAGGGGATCAAGCTACAACCATATGTATAAAACTGGACAGCTTTTTCAGTGCTCTGTACACTGCAGGCCTCCTTGTTAGTCAGCCAGCCACCCTTCTTGAGGACACGCCTTTGACTTGACAACCTGCGCCAAGTCTCCAGAGTGCGGTGCGTGTGCTTAGATAGCACACGTTGCATTTTAAGGCCGCCATATAGATAGGTATCAATCTACTTTGGGCACTGCCACAGCGAGCCACTAGTTTACACAAGCTCTCTACCATCCTAGCACTCTTGCTTGAAATGAAACATTTATTCTATGATTGTCAGCCGCCCACAATCTGTATTCTAAGGTGACTTTGGCTCTCTGCTTTTGCCATGTTTGGAGCAACCATCGTGAAATAGATTTCTTCTTGCCTGGACTAGAGCTTGCTAATCGGACGATATATGTAGTAGATACCTACATACCGCTTGGGTTGCATCGACACTCAGCCACAGAGCTACCTACCCACCAGTTTGAATATAAACTCGCAAGCCTCCTGGCACAGCCCTGCCCATTTCGAGGATTTCCTCAACCTCGCGCTTACGCAAACCTCGGGAGCAGCTTTTCATATCATCGCCTGAATTCAGCCTTCATAGCACTATTTCTTTTAGAACTTCTTGAATAACCAAAGACACCTAACCTCTCTATCATGCGTCTCCTAAGTTACAATAGTACAGGCTTACTCAGCTTGACAAACTACCCACGAGGCACCAACATTCCTCCGTACGCGATATTGTCCCACACCTGGGGCTCGGACGAGGTCACCTACGAAGACCTCGGACAAGGAATCGGAGAACACAAGCTTGGGTTCGAAAAGATCCGCCTTTGCGGCGAACAGGCCAAGCGAGATGGCCTGCAACACTTTTGGGTTGACACCTGCTGCATCGACACGTCTAGCAGTGCCGAACTCACAGAATCTATCAACAGCATGTTCCGTTGGTACCGTGATGCGACCAAATGCTACGCCTATCTCGAGGACGTCTCAAGCCCGACGATGCAAGACGGCGGTCGGCATAACAATCGACACTGTGAGCTACAGCTGGAGCAAAGCCGATGGTTTACACGCGGATGGACCCTTCAAGAGCTCATTGCACCGAAGACTGTCGACTTTTACTCACGAGAAGGAACGCTACTAGGTGACAAGAAATCATTGGAACGAATCATCTGCGACATTACAGGTATCCCGGCTCGGGCGCTTCGAGGGAAGCCATTGTTTCACTTCACGACCTCGGAACGGATGGCATGGGCAGAAGGAAGAAAAACTACAGTACCTGAAGATAAGGTGTATTCTATGCTAGGCATCTTCGAAACTCAGATGCCTGTAATCTACGGCGAAGGAGAAGAAAGAGCGCTAAAACGGCTTCGGGAGGAAATAGTCAAAGATCAAAAAGGCAGGCAAAAATCATTTATCGTACAGGTATCAAATCATTAACATTAACGTATACAGGGAGTCGACATGAAGAGTTTTCAGTGCCATTCAGCCTCCACCGCGTGCCAGAAATTGCACACTTCGTAGCAAGGGGAAAAGAGCTTGCTGAGATGCACGAGAGACTCCAGAGTGATGGGGGTCGTCGAGTAGTAGTCCTCCACGGCCTTGGGGGAATGGGCAAGACTCAGTTAGCCATCGAGTATATGAAACGACACAAGGACAACTATTCAGCAGTCTTCTGGCTAAATATCAAGGACGAAAATTCTCTAAAGCAAAGCTTTGCCAGGATAGCCCACCAAATAAAACGACACCATCCCTCAGCTAGCCAAGTGAGTAGCCTAAACATACAGGAGAATCTAGATAAGACGATCGACGCCGTCAAGGCTTGGCTGAGCTTGCCGAACAACTCACGATGGCTTCTAGTCTATGACAACCATGACAACCCTAAGCTACCATCTAATACAGATCCTACCGCTCTCAATATCCATGAGTACTTTCCAGAATCGGATCAAGGCTTCATCATTATTACTACTAGGTCATCTCAAGTAAAGATTGGTCATGCTATTCAAATGGTAAAGATACAGAACCTAGATGACAGCCTTAAAATTTTATCAACTACATCGAAACGCGAGGAATTAATGAATGGTAAGCCACAAATTAAAACTAGCTTACATAGAAATCTAACTTAGTTACTAGAGCCCGATGCTGTAAACCTTGCTAAAGAGCTAGACGGTTTTCCTCTTGCACTAGCTACCGCTGGGGCATACCTTGAACAAACGTCAACAACTTTCGGATCGTACCTTCGTTCATATAAAGACTCCTGGGAGCAACTACAGATCATAAGCCCTGAGCTAGACTCATATGAAAATCGAACCCTTTATTCCACGTGGCAGCTATCCTTTGATCAAATCCAGAGACAAAACAAACATTCAGCTGCACTACTTCAATTATGGGCGTATTTTGACAATCGGGACATCTGGCTTGAGCTCCTTCGATCTTACCGTGGACACAGCGTAGAATGGATTCATGAAATAACAAAGGACGAGCTTAGTTTTACGCATACGATCCGAACTTTGACTGCCTATGGGCTTGTGGAAGTTGACCCTTCTACAGATGAGCTGATCGAATCAAGAGGATATAGCGTTCACAGCTGTGTCCATTCCTGGATGACTCATGTTTTAAACCGAGAATGGAGCGTAGAATTAGCAAAGTTTGCGATTCTATGTATAGCATCACATATCCCCAACCAAGATTCTGATAAATGGTGGTTAACACAAAGACGACTTCTTCAGCATGCCGCAAAACAAAACAAGGCAGTTTTATACGGAATCACAGATGACGAGGCGAGCTGGGTTTTCGATAATTGGGCCAACCTATACAGCGATCAAGGCAAAATAAAAGAAGCCGAAGAGATGTACCAGCAGGCTTTAAAAGGGTATCAAACTATATATGGATTAAATCATCCAAAAACTCAGTGTATCCTGGATAAAATAAAACTATTAACTACTACGAAAAGTACGTTCTTTATACCGAACTGAATCTATGTACAAGTATATTAACATGTTTATAACAGAGATCAGGTTTAAATCTTTCCTATAGATTTAGCCAGTCTAGAAGCGTAGATTTTCGAGGCAGGTCATGGCAGCTATGCTAGCCCATAGCGGTCAGCATCACTAAAAATACACGATTGTTCTCCCAGAATGACCCTCTTTCTTCCTTTCAAATCCCTAGAAGTGATTAAGATGTCCGTGGCCAATCCTCTGGAGTGCGGTTTGGGCTGTGTGCCCGTTCCGTTTCAATAGCCCTAATAAAGGAAAGTACCCTTGTCCTCTATGACAAGCATCAGTTATCAGGAATACATTATATTAATACCCCTTTTTCACTCATGAGTTGTGAATGAGCTAATAACAGCGAAGGCAACGTCGGTTTTACTAACTCCCTTGCTATCATAGGCAGTACTCGCCTGGCTGACTGGGGGACTAGCACTGCTCCTGACTCATAGGCGTTATTAGCCTAGAGTCCTAGTCGAGTACTGTACTACGCCGTTGATCATAGTATATGGGCCAACCCCCCTAAAAAAAATTAAAACGACTAGGACCCGATTCGAACGGGTGCTCCCGAAGGAAGTAGATTTCGAGTCTACCGCGTTAACCACTCCGCCACCTAGCCTGCTTGTTAGATCAATGCCAGATCCTTGCTATACTGGTTGAGGAATTTTCGTATCGACTAATAGTGGGCGGGGTAAGATACATAGAGTCGGACCCACTACGTAGTAGGTACCTTAGGTACCTAATAAGGGACCTACAGTGCGCAGAGTACCTACCTAGGTAGGCTTCAAGGGTGTGCAGCGCGAAGGGTACATGCGTACATTCATTCTATTAACCCTCACATCATGTTGTTGACAGCGATTCCAGCGATGCTAGCAGTATTTTTCTTATTGTACTGACAGGATAGGACAACATGGCGCTGGCCAGGCTACTTCAGTTGTAGCCTTTTCGAGCTGTACGCTGTTTATTATATACAACATTGTGTAATAATGTTGTACTGAAAACAGAAAAAACCTAAAAAATATTCTGTTTATAAAAAACAGGCGTATTTATATCTAATTAATCTTATTAACTAATGCTTGCTTTTTTTAAGTCAAGCAACCCCCCCCGCAACAACCCCCCCCCCCCCCCCCCCAAAAAAAACCACCACTTTATTGCGCTGCTAGTATAATTTTTCAACATAAAAATCTAATGATGTACCACTTCCTCACAATACCCCACTTGGCTGTTGATGTAATAAGCTTAAGAATAGGTATGTTTAGGGCATATCGAAGCAAAGGCTTAAGCAACATATGATTGTATCATAAGGTGAAATTAAATGGATCATTTATGCTGCGTATTCTTACTAGAACTACCTGATATTAACACTATATAATGCACTACCCTCTTTGTGAATATTATTGGGGGTGGCCGTTGGGAGGGATAGAACCTTTTAAAAAAGCGATTCGCCATGGAATATTCTTCGGGTTGAACCGATTTATAGGTTTCGGAGGCCGGAGTTCACGCTAAAATTCGTACAAGATGCTTTAAGCCTAGAGTTGAGATTTGGAGAAGTGAGGAGGAGAGCAACCAGAGTGATTAAAGGCAGGGACATATACCTTTTACTATATACGATGTATAATGTACAGCTGAGCAAAAGTATTACGGAGGTTCTCGTGGGGGAAAGCACAACTAGGTATTCTAGCTCTTGTGCTACAATATGCGTAACATGCAAGAAAAGGCACTTAGAAGACACTACCTAAGGTCACGAAGCACATGTTCTTTTGATAGGCATAGGATGTCTCACACCCTATATAGCGCACAAGGTTAGAAGCATCGATCAACATGGGTAACATCTACGACTCATTTGCCCAGCGCCTCGCCTTCCCTATGCATCGCCCTCGCGCGCCTCTGAACCCACTCCTCGCAGCTGATCTCGCCGTACTTCCGCTCCTCGCCCTCGGCGACGCAGCCGTCGAGCACGCCGCAGCTCTCGTTGAGGTTGAACCCGAAGAAGAACGGCATGCTGATGCGCTCGCGGCCGCTGTGGTTCTGCGCGCGGTGCACCGTGCTCACGTAGCGGTCGTTGGTGATGCGCTGCAGGTAGTCGGCGATGTTGACCACGAACGTGCCCGGCACCGGCCGCGCGTGCAGCCACTGGCCCTGCCGGCTCAGCACCTGCAGCCCGCCGTTGCCGTCCTGCCACAGGATCGTGAAGAGCTGGAAGTCGGTGTGCGAGCCGATGGACACCTCCTCGGCGCCCCCCTGCTGCTGCTGCTGCTGCTGCGCCGCGGCAGCGGCGGCGGGTAAGGGCGGGTAGTAGTTCAGCGCGAGGGCGGCGTCGGGGTGCGTGAACTTGGCCGCGAAGAAGTCCTCGGGCAGGTCGAGCGACAGCGCGAAGGACCGCACGAGGGCCCGCGCCACGGCGAGGCACGAGCGCCAGTAGCGGACGATGGCCTCCTTGAAATGGGGCAGGTTGGCCGTCGCCTCCCAGTAGAACTCCTCGCACCGCAGGTACTTGGCGATGTGGGGTGGGATGGCGGCCGGGTCGGGGACCGACGGGTCGTACCGCGGGTCGTAGGTCCAGGAGAAGGTCTCGCGCACGTCGACCGACTCGAACGGGTTGATGCGCTGCGACCTCGGCGGCTTGTAGCCGTTGAAGTACTTGGAGTGGCGGATGTGGGCGCGCTCCTTGACTTCTCGCGGCTGCCGGAAGAACTCGAGGAGTCGCTCGCAGGTCGCCTCCGGTATCTCGGACGGGATGCCGTGGTTCTTGATGTAGAAGAACCCGTTGTTGGTTGCGGCGTCTCGGATCTGGCGAGCCACATTCATGCGATCATCTTTGGAGCTGCTGAAGATGCCAGAAACGTCGATGACCGGAATCTCGGACGGGAGTGCATCACGTACAGGCGTCTTCAGTACAGTCCTAGAGACGGGCCCGTTGCCAGATGAGAGGCGTAACTCGGTTGTGGGCGGAGTCCCCCCGGGAATTTGAATCGTATCAACGCTGACGGTAGCCATAGATCGATCTTCTCAATCACATGTATTACAGCAGCAAAGGCTAAAACTTACTCAAATGAGTCGTTACTAACATACACACGATGGTCTATGGGCTTCGCTGCGTTGAAAAGACAAGTTCCGATTGGTAGTGCGAATCAACTCATGTAAGTGCGAATCTGTGCTGAGTTCGGCGGTTTCCGTAGCCTAACGCAAGCTTCCGACAAGATCTCATCGAATGAAGGCTGCTAGATGGGATTATCTATATGGGAATCCCTATATGCGAACTCTAGATAGCATATCGTAACTTCTTATTAACTATTATAGCACAAGAAAGCAGGATTGGTAGAGTTTCACCTATCCATCATGATGATTTCAATCCATATATACTAAGCATAGTAGTGGGTATAGATGCGGTATTAGATTTCGACGAGAAAAAAAAGGATAAATCCTATCTAGACAATTTGGGTAAAAGAATTAAACATCTTGATTTCGCCCGGACTTGAACCGGAGACCTTCAGTGTGTTAGACTGACGTGATAACCAACTACACCACGAAACCATGCGAATCTAGAATCCATCACGAGCCGGCGTCATGCCTGATTCATGGTGGGTAACATCTTATCGACTCCTATAGCTGGAGTGTAAGGGTTTGACTAAAACTATTGAGCAAACGCATAATCCTGTGGGGCTTTGCGTAAGTGTGGCACATGACTTCGTGGCACGTACGCGTGTTCTTGTGGTATCCTATTCCTACGTTTGGCATGCTAACCCCAGAAATAATCGGTATTAGATTAAGACGACACAGGCCTGAGATCTTCGGTTATTCAATGTCCTACGCGATCGCTCTAGGGCTGTGCGTTAGATCGGACGCTTTAAGGCGACTGGAGAAAGAAGATCGGAGTAGAGCATATAGACTTTTTCTGGTACAATTGTATAATGTAGAGTATGCGCCTCTGCTTAAAACACTCTTTTATCTGCTCTCGTATAAGTTTGGAATAATATATATTTGAAGAAAAAGGGTGCTGTATAATTAGGCAGGTTGAGATAATCATCATTGTAGATAGATTGTAGAGTTGCTACAAACAAATCCCTCACTACTCGAGGACAAAAAGATAGCCAATGAGTAAGCACACGGGCCAAACGAATACCATAACAAGTGTGTAGTTATGTGGCCATGTGCATTCATTATTATACATCAGCAAGAATAGAAATAAACACGTAGGTACGTTGATTTCAATAACGCCCATTATCTCTATGTACATTCATCCCACTAGTATATGGTATGGGGTAGGAAATCAGATTAGGGTATAAGCCTCGCCCTAAATGTGACTGTACTAAAAATAGGATTGCGTGTGTTTGTTATACATATGCTGAATAATATTTTTCGTGAAGTTATGTTCCCTCGAGCCAGCTCAGGTGGTACCTCGTCATCTCATTATTATACACTTCTAGGCCGGATCGACATTCAGTATCGATATACATTTATTGCCAAGACCCAGCCTGTGTAGGATCCTGTAACACTGGCGACATGCCAAAGTTATGCACGCCTTGCTGAGGCATGAACCCGCCATATTCTTGAATGAGATAATTCCAGTCCATTTCGCCGCCAAAATTGACGTCCGGAAATACCATGGAAAATTGCCTGTTAATATCCGCGGGCGGCATGTTGTTGAACATGTCAGCAGGATTGTACATTGCCGCATTAGGCACAAGGTTTCCTGCTGGTGCGGATGACGATGATGCAGGTGCAGAGGTGTATCCATCACTGGCCCCTGGCATTTTCGGTGACGGCGTTGGCACCGGTGTTTTGTCCTTGGCCTTCTTGGGCCTCTGAGCGTCGATTTGTCTCATTAGAGTAATTAGTCTTGGCGGGGCTAGAGTACGGCCATTTGCGGCCTCGGCGGCTTCTCTGGCGTCCCAAGCCCGTACGAATAGTGCACTGAAAGCGAGGTGTAGTGGAGTGCGTGTCGTGGTCATCATTTTTCTCCTCTCTGCATGCTCAAAGATTGTTTCCCAAGCGCGTTCGCATAAGTCACCTGTGGTACGATGCCGGAGCTCGCTTAAAAGACAGACGTATGCAGGGAAAGGAAAATACATCTTTGTGTACCAGATGAAGCCCTTTAGCCTTTCATGAGCTTGCATCAAGCTGTCATATTCGATCATCCGTATGGCTTCGATTAGAAGGGCCTCGCTCTCAGCTGCAGGTAACTGGGAAGGGGCCATTATTGCGACTCGGAAGAACCCGGAGTGAACCCTCATCTTGCAAATGCTGGCTTGCGTCATGAGGAGCGTCATATAATGAATAGGTATCTTTGGATCACAGTACTTCAGATATGTCTCATCCATGTAGTGTGCAAATTGGTCGAGGTAGCTCGAGAGGCGGTGGTCGGCTAGATTGGTAACCGCTTGTGGATTGGCGGCAGAGAGTTGAGCCTTCATTTTGTCATTCCCTGGTGCCTTGGCAAACTCGAGCCTCGTGAGGGCAAATATCATTTCGGTAGCGCCAGAATGAGGAGGAGGCGGATCTTTGGCATGCGCATTGAGGTCGGCGTCGTTGATATTGAGCGGCAACCTGCAGTTGCCGCCGGTTGAGATGGCTGTGATGGTCGATCCGCACATTTCTCCTATGCGTCTATCAAAGCCA